ATAAGGTGGAAATTGCTGGAGCAGAATGATTTACCCCTTATTACCTAATGATAACTGTACACAACATTGCCCATTTGATCCATACGAAACCGCTTTGAATGATAATCCACAGAAGATTAAACTAATTCAAAATCTGGCTTGGATTTCAGTAAATGTGTATATCGATGAATGATTTTCTAGCTTTTCCTTACTAGACTGTACGAGAACTAGAGTGCTGAAAAGAGAGTCGACGTTTACTGAGCCACTTGAGCTCCACTACGTGTGAATTTCGTTGAGGTCGTCAGAGGCAATAATTTGCCTGCTCCTAGAAAATTCTTATTGGGCAACCGATATTCACGTCGTAAACCTTCTAATCCGAGAAAAGCCATTCTTGTTTCTAGTTTTGTCCGTGAAGCTTTTCTGTAGCTTGGAACACAAAAGAAATCTGAGCATTCGAGGACTCAACGTGACGGCTTTGAAGGTACATGAATTTAGAGCGTGTGTTTCTAACTCCTGCTCCATTGCACCTGCGAAAATTAGTTCAAGCAACAAATCTTGATCGAAATGGTGGGGTAACAGCAGTCGACAATGAAACTGTGTACGCCAAACTGACTAAAAATGAAAAAAAATCAACCAAAGCAATCAACCGATGAAGCCACTTCACAAGGATTCGGACTCTTGCCTCCTTGACGGAGCCGGACGAGTTTTCTGAACCTATTTGCTCCACAGCTCCACTAACCCGCACGTGATAGAAAATTCAAATTAGCCGCTACGCCGTAACCCACGCTGCGTATCATGGGGTGTGCACGAGATATCTCGTCCGTAAGCCCACATTAACTGTGACACACGCAGATCACTCTATCCTACCCACTTGCCCAATCTATTCTACGGTTGGTAGTCTATCCCACCCGTAGAATAGATTGTTCGACAAGACCTCATCTGAGTTGTTGGTTTAAGACCCACATTGTCACTGCCTCGCCAGTTTTTTGCCTTTAAGTCAACTAAATCAAATTCACTCACCCTCAAATTTTGTATTTCCTTCTCTTCCAAGGCGATTTTACCTTCAAGCTCACCGAGATAGTCAGGACCGCGGAATCCATAAGCGACAGATAGCTGACGCTCGATCTTATGAACATCATTTTGAATATCATTTTGCATCTGAAAACCAATTATTCCATCGTTCGGGTTGCCAAGCTTCACGAATACGGTAAATAAGACGAAGTATCATGAAAAAGCTGTTGTGTGTTATATATTTTATTCGCTGAGATGAAGCTCAAACTGACCTTTTCATGCTAACAGCATTCGGCATTTCATTTTCGCTTCGATCTTTTTCTTATCATCCTTGCAATTGTTTTTCTCTTGGGATTGCGAATCAGATACTCGCTTTCAATCTCGGTCGGCGCTTTCGATTCCTAGCTGTCTGAAATTCTCTGTAGAGCGAAGTCAATCTGCAAAAGCCACAATATTCCAAACTAGTCGCGTGACGGTTTGCGCTGAGAACAAGGTCGACAATAAAACAAAGCCGCAGCTGTTGTGCCAGGGTCAACCCTGCGTTGCGCAAATTCCAAAATTTTTACGACCCCCTTCCTTTTCGGGGGTATCGGTACGACCCCCCATATTAACTATCATGTCTTTCACATAATTTAATGCTCATCAATGATGGCAGTCACCAACATGGAGAAGTGGTGGACCGTGGTCAATCCGCGCGCTTTGTCTCGCTCAGAGGAGGAATCGAGGCAAATGAAGTTTTATTCATTAAATAGAAGGAATTTCCAAATTTTTGCGTAAACCAATACATCATTTTAATCGTAAAGATTTCTACTTTCAGAAACCCACCAGGATTTTTTCGATCTCTCAACTTTCCTTACCTTATAATCTGAAAAACTAAACCTTGTAGCAATTACATTGCAATCCAAACCCCTCCATTCAGAAGGTTATATTTTCTTTCAGAAGCTGTTTCATGAAATCGGACACCAAAATTTTGAAAAATATAAATAGTTTTCTTCCTGAGGAGTATTTGAAATGTTGTGGATGTTCAGTATTTCAAAAAATCGTCCCGTTGTTCCGTTTTCTGTGCACACGCGAGTTTTTGACATTCAAACATTCATAACTTTCTTCATAATCAACTTTTTGCAAATGTCTAAGGCTAATTAGAAACTAGAAGATTAGAGCTTTCGAACAAGCACCTGAAAATTTTCCAGCGATCATTTTTTCAAAAAATAGTCCCGTTGTTCCGTTTATGGGTGGTTTGGGGTCCGATTTTTGAGAAGGCGCGAGTTTTCGACATTCAAACGTTAATAACTTTTTCTTCATACTCAATCATTTTGGGTTACCCAGTGTGTGTGGTCTTTGCAGATGTCTAAGCTAATTAGAGCTTTCAAAGTAGTGCTTAACACTTCTTGAAATAATCACTCGCTCAAAAAATAGTCCCGTTGTTCCGTTTATTCCACCTTGATTTTTTTCAAGCCATTTTCCTGGACCGCGACTATGCAGTCTTCAAAGGCCCATAACTTCCTTTAAAATTAATGTGATGAGAAGCGGTAAAGATTGTTGGAATCCACTACGAACTTCGAAGTGTACTTCATAACAGCTGTGAAATTTTTCCTGACGAATTCCTTCTTCTGCCTCAATTTTCCTACGGCGTCTCTAGAACTCAATTCAGCAAATTCGCTACACTTTGTTTCGCTTAGATTTTATTTGAAAGCATCGAAACTCTCTTCAGAAAGTTTGTCTGCTTACGGCCGCTGACAGAGGAGGCGTTTTTATGGGAAAACGCCTCGGGTATACGCCGTGCACCTATCTGTGGGCAGAGTTCGCGCACTCGCATTTTGAAGTCTTCTGTTTTCCTGAAGAAGGTGTTAGTATCCTGATTGAGTTGTATTGTGCTGTTATATGGCACTCTTGTTTCACTTTCCCATGAACTGCTCTACACTTTGTTCTCCTCGGGATTTCAGGAATGTTTCATCATCGAAGACAGACCATGTTTTTGCACTACACTGTAACAAAGTTTTTGGCTATTGTCTATTGTACTCTTGATCTATGCCGCGGAGCAAAAGCGCCGTCCGGATAGCGTCGCTTAAGGATAATAAGCTGATGGTGAGACTTATAGTGCTCTGCATGCTTTAATGCTCCCATGGAGCTCATGTCTGTGTGACTCTCCGACAGCGTGCAGAGCTCCTGGAGAACATTAGAGGCTGAAAGTGCACTCCCGGACACTGCACTTTTCAAGCCGTCTTGCAGCCCGTCTGTGGATACGACCCCCTCCCTTTTCGGTCGGCTGAATACGACCCCCTCGTTGTTCTTTGCGCAACGCAGGGTTGACCCTGCTTGTTGCAGCCAAGAGATCCTTCCTCGATTAGGACCTTACTGAAGTTCATGCCACGCAGCAGAGATGCTGCCGGGGATAGAACACACTGGCTACGCCCTGACAAGCGACAGCGGACGCGGCGAATTGCGTCAGCGGCGAACGCTATGGATGAGAGAAGAAGAAAGATTCGCTCGCTGACGGTAAAACGTAAAGAAAAGTCAACTAGTGGAAAGCCCACGCTACTAAAGGAAAGATGAACACGGCAGGACATCCTATCGATGGTCGTTGCCAAGATGCCATGGTTACTTGACTCTTCAGAACGAAAGTCTTTTTAGCATGTTATAACTGCTTACTGTTCCAGATATTCAGTCAGCAGGTTCGCGTATACATTATCGGCGGCGTACTGGGTTTCACAAGTGTGTTTCATTTTCGCTTTCCGGATTGAGATAGTCGGAAAACGGTTCTTATCTTGATCAACTTTGATAAACGCTAATTAGCCCCCATGATTCATCTGACGCAAGTGCTCATTTTTGTGCCATTTCGGCCCGATTGCGGTAACTTTTTGCGTACTATCCTCAAATAATTAATGTATGTCCGCGATATAAGGATGCCATGGATAAATTACAAAGTGTAAAGAGTTCGGTGCAGATTCACTAAACTTGCTGGTCATCATGCAAACGAACATCATATCTGATCTTCTCGTGGGTGGAGCTACCATATCTCCCTTGTGATGGGCGATTGTAATTGGTGGTTCGTGAAGATGAATGAATTATCCGGCTTATGATTGTTATGATTACGCAATAGTGTCTGCGAAAAATGATATTTATATTATTCCGCGGTGCGCTGCGCCGAGCTTTGAGAGCATGTAAACCTATTGGCCACGCGCAGGCCAGCAGAAAGGCAAGCATATGACCCTTCCTAGATGCTCTCTATGGCCTAAATTCTCAAGCATGAATTCACAACACCAACCTCGTGTATCTCCGCACGCAACTCCTTTTCAGTACCGGGATAAGGAGCAACTTTGATCGTATTGAGCTGCTCATTCAACATGCGCAATTCTGCTTGCTTAATTTCTGAAAGACTTAACATTACCCATTTCAAAACCTCCAATGATCCTTTCCGAGTGAATCGATGAAATTACCTGCTTTCCTCTCCAAATCTTCTATTTCTAGTAGTTTTTGATTGGATTTCTCTATGATTTCAGCGCAAACCTTTATTTTTGCATCCAAATCACGAATTTTTTCTTTCGACTCCTTCCGCAGAGCATTGCATGAATCGCGTTGATGCACATACTTAAATTACACTTTAAAAAAGGAAAATACATCAATTCAGAGTAATGATGACCTTGATTTTAGGACTTGACCACCATTTCCTTGCACGACTGCTTTTCTAAAAGCGTTGCTAGTTGACCCTCCTAAATTATCCAGAAAAATTGCTTTTATCTGTTATTTGCATAAGAAAAAAAGATCTTTGGCACTCACGTAATCCTTTTTCATCTTTTTCATGACCTCCATCGCCTTGACAAATCTGGTCAAACGAAAAATCCGATCAAATCTCAACTTCAACTCCTTCGGTTCGCTGAGGGGCCTAAGGTAAAGATGGTGTGAGACAATGGTTATCAATACAAAACAAGCATGCTGCGTATGTCCGTAAAACAGCCCCGACCAATTGGAATCCTCCTGATGGCAGAATATGACATTATCCAATATTGCTGCAGGAACGCCGAGAAGGTTGACGATCTAAGACGATACCGTTCAACAAAAATTACAGTCTCCATGAAAGGAGTTCAACCAGCCTCTTTTTGGAAGTCAGCAACTTTCGATGAAAGACTGTGGACTTGTCCATCTTTCAACGTCATTTGTATGTTAAATTCGTCTGATTTGCACTGCAGCTTCCCTTGCTGAAAAATGGTACAGAAAAAACACACTGAGGGCTGCGCAAAAAAAACAACAGCGGATAACTGATTATAACTTTTTATCAAAGAGAACTTTATCGTCAATTTTTTCCACATCGATGAACTTGACAAGGGCAACTGATTCTGGCAAGAAAAAAAAACTTGTAGAAGTACTCAAGAATTGAGACCAGTAAATAAAACACAGGGGGAGGGCAAAAAAACCCAACTTCTTGTTGCACTGGGGCCGTTGTTTATAAAAGTTTCACGGTAAAATATTCCTTAGTGTCCCTCCATAAGCAGAAGTTGGCCCTACTTCATTGCTCACGCCGTCTTCACAAAACGGCGTCATCTGCCAACACCGTCGAGCTCAAGGAAGTCAACCCTAGTCGCTCTAAACTGAAGCTGCTAGAAAAATTTCTTGATTGGTTAATCAGTGGATAGATTCCTAGAGACCAGGTGTGACTGGGCAAGATCGCTTTTGAACAGCGTTTCAGA